CCCCGCCGCAGGCGCGGCAGCGGCAGCGGCGGCGCCTGCGGCGCCCTCGTCCCCGCCCACCTCCCCGACCGCAGCGTCCGCCGCCGCACACTACTCCGGCCGCGCGCCCGGCGCGGCCGCGCTGCACGAGGCCGCGCGCCTGCTGCAGCTACAGCTGCCGCCGCCCGGCGCGAAGGGCGGCATCGGGGCGGCCCCGATAAAGGAGCGGCGCCTGGCTGAGGGGGAGGATGCTTTCAGGTGGGCCGACACGCTGCTGCCGCCTCTGGACGCGGTGCAGCAGCAGCAGCAGCAGCAGCAGCAGCAGCAGCCGCAGCAACAACAACAACAGCCAGGGAGCCCTGCTTTGGCAGGAAAGCAGGGCAGCCTTGATGCTGATAAGCAGCAAGAGCAGCAGGAGCAGCAGCAAAAACAGCAAGTGCAGCAGCCGCCCAAGCTTGGCAGCCCCGGCGCGGCCTCGCAGCCCCCGCGGCGGCGCCACAAAGGCCGCTTCCTGGGGAACGAGGTGGGTCCCCGCCTTTGCACCCGATCAACCATGCGCCACACCAGTGCGACTGCCGTGCTTGTCGGCGCCGTGTCTTGAGCTTCTCCAGGGCTCCCGGCGCCAAAGTTTGGTCGGAGACAACACTGGAGCACTGGAGCCCGCCGTGCCCTTCGCTCCACCGCCAACCGCGGCGCCTCGTTACCCCTCCCCGCCCCCATTTGTCCGATCCAGGTCCTGTTCCTCCCGCCAAACGCCCCTTACGCCGCCCGCTGGCCGATGGAGGGCGGCCGCCTTGCCGGCCTGGCGCAGCGCGGCGGCTGCCGGGAAGCCGGCGGGCAGCTGCCCGACCACTTGATACTTGACGGGCTGGAGGAGGTCTGGCGCTGGGGCCTGTCGCGGCTTGGGCTGGGCCAGAGGCAGTGGGCGAAGATGGAGGCCGTGCTGGTGGTGCCGCGGTCAATGACGGCGCGCGAGGTGCGCAGCGCTTGACTGTGCGCTTGTGCGTGTTTGTTTGGGCGTGTTCTTGTGTGTGCGTATGCGCGCGAGCGAGCGTGGTTGCGTGTGTGTGTGTATCTAATAGAAGGCAGTGGGGGTGCGCACCCCCCCCCCCCAAGTGGGGATGGGGTGTGTGAATTGGTTGAATTGCGTGCGCGGAGGGGGCAGGGGCTAGCCGTTGCCGCTGGGGACCTGGACACAAGCGGCCGAGCTGCACTATGTGCTGCGGCAGCACACACAGCTCAGCCGCGCGTGCCTTTGTACCCAAGATGTGCGGGCCGCCCCTTGCAATGCGCACCCCCCTTGCCGGCCTCCCCCCCTTCCACTCCAACCACCACCAACCGTCGCCGCCGCCAGCAGCTGCTGCCCTGCCAACCAGCCCCAGAAACTGCACAAAGTCCAAAAGCGCCCTCCTCCACACACGCACACGCACGCGCATGCGCATGCGCGCGCACGCACACGCGCACACACACGCACGCACGCACACACACACACACACACACACACACACACACACACACACACACACACACAC